ATATATATATATATGTATGTATGCATGTATACTTCAAAATGCATACTTTAAAGAATGCATCCTTTATACAAGTGACTCACTGACACCCAACCCTTAGGAACTTTCAGTCCATCTTCTTCTCTGCATGGTCTCTTTTTTCTCCACCTACGAGTCAGCTGTGACTCACACAGACCAATCCATCCTTCTCAAACACAACAGAAATAAAATACGCAAGAAATCTTTCCACGTTTTTGTCTCACCATCATCGGTTGGGTTGAATCCACAGAGCAGGCAGATGGATGTCACCCAGCGGTTCATGTCGCCCTCGGACTCGGCCACCAGATACCAGGTCCTCTCCTCTGTCCTCAGATCAAAAACAAAGCTGGTCTCCAGTTCTTTCTTGGTGAAGGACAGACCTGCGTCAACCTGGATGGGCAGAACGGGAAACAGGAGAGGCAGATTTGTGAATATCTGTTGATACATTTATTAAACTCCCTCTGACAGATGACTAAAACAAACTGTAAGTACAGCTGTTCTTACAGTTTTTAACTGAATTTCAGAGTCTGTACCTGTTCACAAAGATTCAGATTGATGGTTCTAATTGGTCGGCGAGAATGCTGGTTCTTGTAGTACTGCAGAACATCCGGTTCTCCACTCAGTCGGCCGCTTCGCAGAACAAACCAACGCCTTTTCCATGCCTGGACAGATCCAGATATTATAGAAGAATGAAAAGTGTTTTCTCAACATAAAACTCAGCATGCAACGTGAACAAATCAGCAATATTCCAGACCCACGATTCTTCAACGGTGGTACATGTAAGCAATGACTGGTGGTACTCGGGATTCTTGGTGGAGTTAGGAAGGAATTTTGGAAATTTGGAAATTTGACTTTGCATGTTAAATAGCAAGCTAATTACCTGGGACACCCTTTAACTTGGCTTGTGATAGGGTTGGCTTGTTATGTCAGGAAAGAACGTTGTAGGCTAACTCTGTTTTTTAAGTTCTGTCAGAATGGTGCAACTGTGGGATTCTGTATTTTGTTCTCTTTTAATCCTTGTATTTCATGCACTCCCCAGTGTTATTTGGGGACTGCCTGAAGGAAGCCGCTTAATATTATCCCTCTGACAAGGGGCTTGATCTTCCTTCAACTTTAATAAGGCCCAAACCACAACGTACACCCCCACAAATTTTATATCAAAATGACCGGCTCGGCACTGTGATGTGTGCTATTACTTTTATTGGTATTAAGTTACCATGGTGACGTAATTTGCAAACAAATATGCCATTTTCCTCATTAAAAAACACTGATAGAACTCTTTAACAGCTTCTAACTGCCACAGTGAGTTCACATGACCTAGAGTGGAGAGGTTCCTGTACAAAACCTTTGGAGCCACTCTGGTTCAAGATGGCTGCCACGGCTACGTAAGAAAACTCAAAATTGACTATAACTGTCAATCTTTGACATATTCAGCTGAAATTTGGTATGGTCATAGCTGAGAGTGAGTTGTTTTACATTTCTAATGCAAATTAAAAATCCAATGGCCACCTTTGCTGAAATGGAAAAAATATGATAACTCAACTATTTTAAAATAAATTGAGCTGAAATTTTGTGTGGTGGTCCCTGACAGTAACGCACAACAATTCTAAAACAACAAATCTAAAAGCTCAAGATGGCCACCAAAGCAAATTTCAAATGGATATAATGCAGAGGTTTTTTAGAACTATTTATCTGAAATTTGGTGTGGCGTTAGCTGAGTGATCCTTCATAGACCCTGATTGCAAATCAAAATTCCAAGATAGCCTCCAATGCTACATTTAAATGGATTTAACTCAGCTATTTTTATACATATAGAGCTGATATTTGGTGAGGTTATAGCTGAGATCCCTATCACATACTGATTCCAAATCAAATATCCAAGATGGCTGCCATATTAAAAAAAATGACTATATTGATTTGTTGCCTTATTGAGCTGAAATTTGGTCTGGTGGTAACTGAGAATGAACCCCAACACAAATGTCCAATAAAAAATTTTAAATGGCTGCAACATAGCAGTCCTAAAGTTTCTCCAGGAACTTTCTTGTCTTCCTTGTTGTTACCATACCATACCATACCATACCACTTTATTTATAAAGCACTTAAAACAGCAACAAGGCCAACCAAAGTGTTGTTCAGCTCCTGTCTCACCTGTCTCCAAAGCTAATCACCCCATGTGTTTGTCACTTTGTCTTATTAGTCCTCCTATAAATTCAGCGTCTCTGTGTTTCCTCTTTGTCTGTGCATTGTGCTTCTCAGCCCGTCATGTTCTGTTCCTCCGTCATTTCCTCCATCCAAGGAAGTTTTTTCTGCCCCGTCAGCTTTCGTTTTGTTTTGTTTAAATAAATAGAAATGTATTATTTTTCCCTTGGAGTCTCCTCTGTCTGCCTGCATGTGTGTTCAACGTTAAATCTCAGAACATGTCAGCAACTTGATATAAATGTTTGACCATTCATAAACCGTCCAGATGACCTGATTGAACTTTGTTGGATTTTGTTTACCTGGATTATTGAGCATGAACTTAGATGTTTGATAACCACAGCTCTGGACTTGATTTTGGACTTGGATCTTCCTGTAGAATAGAAACCTAATCAGGTTACTGATTGTAAAGTCAGATTAGGTTGTGCTTGTCTTTTTTCCTCCTCCATCCACAGCTCTTGCAGTGTCTCTGTCGGTTTATCTGCCCGGTCCAAGATGTTACACTCCACTGAACCTGAACTTTAACTGAACACAGCGTGCATGCAGCATTGCTAAATATTTGACAGTGTTCTCTGCCTTGATGCAACGAGCATTATGGGTACTGACCATCTCCTACATGAGCGATCCACAGGATGACGCCTCATGTTTCAGGCATGACTCACACCTTCTGTGTGTGAGTTTGTACAGTGTTAGTGTAGGTAGAGTGTTAAAAACACGTGGTTATTTTGAGGTGTGAAGCAGAGCATGCACAAGGATCTGGCCTGTGCACAAACCCACTGCAGCTCTCAGATTCAAACTGCGTTTGCAAAACTCAAACAATGCCACTTCAAATTCTAACTAGAGAAATTGCATTTAATTTGAAAATGTAGTGCTTATTGCAGAAGAACTTGCTGAAAAACAGCTGAAATTAGCTAAAAAAAAATGCTGAAATTTAGCTTAAATGGAGGAACAAGCCTCAACAAGTTCTAGAATTGCGCCGCTCAAGGTGGCTGCATGTTGGAGCAGCTCTGTTACTTTCATTCTGAGATTTTGCTTTTGGAAACTTTAATTCCTCTTTTTCTGGATGTAAATCACATTTTTTGGATGATTGTTTCCTCTGGTATCGGATGCTGTGCAGCTGGAAGGATTTTTACTGAAACTTTTTTAGTTTTGGACATTTATTATGATGCGTAACCATGGCAACAAGGCAGTTTTCTACAACCAACAGCAGCTGATTAACATCTCAAAAGCTCAAATAATATCTCAACTACAGCCCCAAATCTCAAATGAGTTGAAATGATGTTCTGTGGACGCATTCTCATCTACCTGCCAGCTGTGCTCGAGTGCCTGACCACTGAGATCCTGGAACTAGCAGGAAACACGGCTCATGACAGCGGAAGGACAGGATCGTCCCTCAGCACCTACAGCCGGCTGTCCGCAGCGACGAGGAGCTCAGCAGCTGCTGGGAGGAGTGGCCATCACTCTGGGAGGAGTTCTGCCCAGCATTCAGGCGGTCCTACAGCCCGAAGGAACCGAGAGGCCAGCCGAGTCTGGGTGGACGGATCGGACAGCATCTGCAGCCAGTTTCTTAGGATCCACAGTGGGATGGACCTTTACAAGAGATCCTTCCTGTCTACAGCATCAGCATCTATAGCATCTCTTAATGAAATGAAGATAACAAGCTACAACAACAAATCATTTCAAAGTATTTTTGAATTGAATTTTTGAATTGAATTGAAATAAATTAGCAGAAGATAGGAGAGGAAAAAAACATGTTTGCTGAATTAGGATTAAATAAGCTGAAATGAGAGCAATAATTAGGAAACTTGCTGAAATCAACAAAAACAAAATAGCTGACAACTAACTTAAAAGTCATAAAGAAGCTTAAAATACCAAAAGGAAGCAGGAAAATCTTAAATGAGCTAAAAAATGTGGAAGTAGCTGAAAAAGTCAAAATTAGCACAAATAGCTAAATAGTAGCTGAATTAGCTGAGGAATTATTATGAAAAACTTGAATTTATTTGAAGACAGCTGAAATAAAAAATGTGGAAATTAACTGAATACAGCTGAATTTAGCAAAAACAGCTGAAAAGTAGCTAAAAAGGCAGAAAGAAGCATAAATTACCAGAAGGAAGCGGAGAGAGAGCACCTTTTTTTTTCTCTTTTGCTAAATTAGGCTGGAAAAGATGGAATAAGTGCAGCAAATGTGGAATTAGCTGAAAAAGCTAAAATTAGCATAAAAACAGCTAAATAGTTGCTAAAATAGCAGAAAAACATGAAACTTGCAGAAATGAGCCGAAAGGAGCATAACAAGCTGAAATTAGAAGGAAGAAGTTAGAAGAAGCACAAAATTGTTGTAGTTAGCAGAAAGAATCTAAAAGGCGTACAAAACTGCAGAAAAAACCCCAACTGAAATTAACTGAAAGTAGCTGTTAAAAGTTCATATTTGCACAAAGAAGCTGAAAGAAGCTGAAGCAGAACAAAATGTGAACAGAGCAGTAAAAGGTTGTAAACAGATCTACAGATGTGAAGGATGTAAAATGAGCTCAATTCATTTTCTGTGACAAAAAAATGGGCGAAAAGGCTAAATATTTCAAAAAACTAAAGTTACACCAATAACAAAAGTCATAGCAGGATTTTCCTGAAAGAGCTGAACATTTTGATTTATGATTTGTTGAAATAGCACAAAAATTGTGGAACAAGAAAGATGCAGAAAAACGTACAGAAAAAAAGGATCACAATAGAGAGAATGATTCATAAACAGTCACACAATAAAAAGGGACAAATCTTTTCCAGAGGAAAGTGAACGACAGGGGCAAAATGGTGTTTCTGTTTTCATGTGCAGCTGGTTTGTGTGCGGAAGTGAATTCCCACCAGTTAAAGAAGCAAAAACAATCTTTTTATCCTGCTGATCCGAGTTACTCGATAAAACCCAACGGGACTCCACAAGACTCTGTGGTTGTGCTTGTGTGTTTATGTGATCAAAGTGAGTTCCATTAAAATCCATGAAGCCTGTTCCCACTCGGTTCTTTCCAAACACAGACAGGAAGAGGAAGTAGCTGCACAGGAAATGCTGGTAAAAGATGGCAGTGGAGGCGTGTTTGTTTTCTGTCCCCCACAATCTGTTTGATGATCGCTTGTCCTGGAACTCCTGGCCAGATGAAAGCAGCGGGCAGCCTGCATGAAAACATGTTTTCATTTTTCTGCAGTTTTTAATTAAAAATCTTTGGTGCCACAGCTATTTGAGTTCAGTCCTTCTTAAGCTTACGAAACTTCTAACTTGTTCTAAATTAGAGATTATTCCGTTTGCGTCATCAGCAAGTAGAAACAAGTTACAAAACGGTTGGCTGAAACAATCACTCTAATTTTTTTAGTTTACTCAGCAAATAACATCAGCTGAAAATGGATGAAACAAGCATTTTTATTGGAGGACGCAGTTTCTTTCATTATTTATTATGAATTAAGAGATTGTCAAAAAATATCTCAG